CTCCTCCTTGTGTGATGGGCGGATGGAGTCGCACTGATAATCCCGGAAGCCATTGCAAGGGGTGGCGGAGGCGGTGTCGAAAACCCGGGCCTGCTGGTAGAAGCGGTGGCCGCCGCCGCCGCCGCCCCCAGGCAGGAGGAGCTCCTCCTCAGCTCCCCTCAGGTACCTGTGCCTGTCTCGGGGGGGGGGGTTCGCTTACGCCCGCCGCCCTTTCGTCCCCGCTCCACGGCCTCTTCCTCCTTTCCCCTCCCCGGTCTGGCTTGCTTGGTAACCGCGATTGGTACGCCAGGAAGTCAATTGGGGTGACGTCACTGTTTCCCTGCTGGCTGAATGGTAGGTGGAGGGGCTTCCTCAGGGAGGGAGGGGGCGGGGGGGGGGGGGAAGACCTCACACCCCCCAGGAGCGCTTTTCCCGCTCGATTTTGGGACACAGAAGGGCAGGGTGGGGGGGCTCCAATGGGGAGGCCGTTATCAGCGATTTCAAAACAGGAGAGACCCTAACAAAAGAAAGGGAAGGTGCAGCCTCCTCAGTTCCACGATGGGGAAGGAGGGCCAGGGTCTCTTAAAAGGAAGGACTCCAAACGGCCGTAGGGTGGGGTGAGGAGGAGTGGGTGTGCATTGACATACACGCCCATGCATCCCCCCAGTATTTCTCCTCCTATTTTTGAGCACCCATAGGAATGTGTTGGAGCACCATTCTTTTGTCTCCTACCCACCCCCAGCACCCTTTGATTACTGTACTGTGTATTGTTTTATGTCTTTGCAGATATGACATTGTAGAGCAAGGAAGCATCCCTATCAACTTGCCTTATTTTCATTTATTTTTATAAGCTGCCTAAATGTCTGCAAGGGGGGGGCATGGAGTGGAAGAGGCAATGGGGTTATGTGTAACAGTAAAAGTCGGAAGCTTTTCGACTTAGAAGTTAATCAGTCACCATCCTTCTTTTTTTCTTGAAATTTCCTTGGAGATGTCCAAATTTAATAACATAGCTTGTGGAGTTGCTAAAGAGATTTTTGTGTAAAAGAAGGAAGAAAGCAACAAAAATGAACACATACTAGCTACTTATGGTGAATTGGTATGATGTACCTTAAAACATCACATCTCAGTTGTAAGAACATATTTTTGCACTGTTTCCAATAGGTACTTAAAAGGTGATTGCAAAACAGTTTTTCTAATATTCTCTATAGAATTTTATCCATGCTGCAGAAATATCATTTGTAGAAAGTTATGTCATATTTCAGTTAGGATTTAATACAGCACTTAAATCTATTAATTTGTTCTTGTACCTTTTAAGCAGCAGTTTTAGTCCAGGCGCAAAAAACATTTATGTGTTGTTCTTCTGAAATAGGTGGAGTGGACAGAGAAAAAACATTGGAAGGGAGAGGAAAAAGTATTCAGTGAAGAATGAAAAGAAAGGTTGGTGTGACAGGAGTGTTAAGGAAATGTATGACAGTGTCTACATGGATTATGGAAAGGCTATACAATTTCTTTAATTGCATACTTAACCAGTTTTCCTGAAGACACACTGCATACTTGTATAAATCTTAGATTCCTGGAAAAGTTAGTTGTGCCTAGGTTAGGCAGTACTTTATGGAGGTCAGATAGAGGGATCTGTGTTTTTACAAGGGGGAACCTAATAGTTTATCTGTGTATTCTTGTGTTTGTCAGTGTTTTAAGAACCTTTGTATATCAGTTATTTGGCTTTTATAATTTCTTACACATCATAACTTCCCACTCCATAATATATGCTTTCTGAATCATTCTTTATATTTTGTAGTATTTGTACTGTATTATTTCCAGGGTATAAATCTTGTGCTGGACAGTAGATTCATTGAAGTAACTGAATTTATGCAAGTGTTGAATACCCAAATTTCCATTGTTTTAATTAGTGTTTTTTTTTATTAGAACTAACAATGGGTCCAGAGTATTGTTCTGGGAAAAGAAGTTGTACTGCATTTTTCTGGGATCCAGTTTCCCATATACCTCTCAACATCCGGACTTAACTTTAGACTGGATATCTGATACCAATAAAATTTATTATGGGAGATGGTGATTAAATTTGTTTAGTCATTCCTTTTTGTTCTATAGAACATCTTCTGATAAAAAATGCAGATGCATAAATATCTGCATTCCAGGAATACATCTGAATTAGTATAGTGCTCATGATTTTTTTGCAATGGGATATATTAATCTTATAACCATAAATATATATTTTATTTAGGTGATAGGGTGTGTCTGACATCATAATGTACCATCAAGTCATTTTTTGCTTATGGCGAACCTTTTCAGGGTTTTCCAAGGGAAGAATACAAAAGTGGTTTACCGTTCCCTTCTTCTGGGGCATCCTGAGACAGTGCAACTCAAAATTCTACATGCAGTCCTTTTAAGAAGTCAGTAGATTTCTGAGCTTGTGAAAGGTTGTATTCATTGGTACTTTCTCCAGTTCCTACCTCCAACCCTACAGCCATCACCCTGGCTTCTTTGGGGTCTAATTGAACATTTCTCTGCTCTGTATTGGGCCTCTTGCTGTGGCACCACACTGCATCTAAAAACCTCTGCTGTTTAGAAGAGGCCCCAAATTTCTAGAGGGAAAAGGTTGCAGTAGAAGGAGGGGAAAGTAGACTATATAAGTAATTTTCCCCAAGCATAATCATTGCTTACAATCTTGAATAATAAAGGATTGGTTGGGGACCATATAAAGTTTTTCGGGGTTTTATATGTAAAAACAAATTTTACTCCAGCTGTCTTTTAACAACTCTTGCCAGATTGGGAGTTGCATCATAATTGACAAGTGTCATCCAGAACAACTGACAAATGAAACAGTTCATATTCATTGTGTAAACTGCCTGTTCTGTATTTTTTAGTTAGCTCTGACAATTGATACTTCTTTATTATTTCACTCTCTCTTGAATGAGCTTAAGGTAGTGTGCTGATTTTCCTCTTTTCCACTTTATTGTCACTTTATTGTGAAGTAGGCCAGGATGGAAGAGTATTACTGGTATGAGTTCATGCAATGCATTACTTTGCCAAATGGCTAGGAAAATATACCTCAGCCCAAATTATGTGATATTTTGACATTCTTCCAACAACTTGTTTTATGCAGATAAGTGTGAAAACAATTCAGAACAAGGATTATTGATCTCAGAAATTTAATTGTTGCATACCGTTCAGCATATGTAGAGAATACTTGAGTTTTCAGTGAAGGAATACAAAAATCTTAGCTGTGACAAAACTCATATGCTGCCAGCAAGTTTAGACAGGTCCTAACTAAAGTTGAAGATCTAGAGTAGCAGGTGTAAGCAAGATCTATGATGTCATTGACAAGATGCCTTGCAAAAAAGATACTGCCAGTGACCAAAACCAGACGTGTATTGTTATGGAAGGTGGAAAAATGTTATTTGTGTCAGATTTCCCATATTCCCAAGGAGCTGAAATCAATCTAGATAGAATCCTGTCTGATTTCAGTTATGATTTAAGTGAACCTTGAACAGATATTAAAAATTGACCAGATTGGCTTTGAAAAAACACAATTCAGGGTGATTTTAATTTGCTGGGGGTAAATACAGTTGTTTCTTCTGGTGACAGTAAGATTCACTGAATGAATGGGATTTGTTAGTCAATGGTAGGCTGGTAAGTTCTGCGTAGCTCCAGTTGTACAACAAGAGTGCTATCATTGCCTGTTGTACTGCTGTAGTGCTAGACTAATTCAAGAGTTCCAGATTCAGGTGGCATGTGGTTCTGTATCATTGATGCAAATCAGTGCTCCTTTAAATAAAAAAGGAACTCTTTGATTAGTGGCATTTGGTCATTGCTGGCAAAGTCACTGCTGTTGTGCTGGTGAAACTATGCAACAGTATGTGAGCCATTGTATAAATCCCATTGATCAATGGATCTAGTCTAGTTGGGATTAACATTTGGATTTACCATTAATGGGGGTTCTGATAGACTTTGTGTCTGTGCATTTCTTAAATGGCAAACATGTAATAGTACTTTTTATAACAATTAAAATATACATCACTTCCAGTTAAATGAAGACTTCTCACAATCTGCAAGCCTTATCCCAGACCTTTGAGTCTATAATAGTAATTATCTTCTGTCAAGTTCCAAATTACAGTGACCCTTTCCAGGGTTTCTAGATAGACTGCTCAGATGTTGTTTACAATCTCCTACCTCTCAGTACGCCCTTGGACTGTGTATGGTAGTTTGCCAGGTCTATGCAGAATGGCTCTTCTGCACAATGGGGAATTGAACTCCCAACCTCGGGCTCTGCAGCCAGATATTTGAATCTACAGCCAGGGTGGAAATCGAAACAAACCTACTCAAAGAGAGGATAGAAAACTGTGAAGTCATCCAAGTGAGATCCTTTAGTTGATGGCAGAGAGCAGAACCATCTTGCCTTGTTTCTTATGTGAAGGCCCTTTTCTGGAGCTCATGCAAGGTACTGTTCAGTACATTGTTGCACAAGCGTAAGCCCATTGAACTAGCAGGGACAGTCTCTAGTTTGTGAAATGGTAGTTAAGAGATTATGGGATTTTGACCCACAGTGCATAGGATACTGGACTAAATTCTCAGGATTTTCTAGAAGCAAGAGGTGATAATTTTTGGGGTAGTACAAGTTTTCTACACAAAATTAAAAATAAAGACAATATTTTGAAAGTTAAGCATACAGTATGTAATTCTCACTGAACTCTACTGAAGAATAAACTGCAAACCTAATTCTCTCCCATGTGAACTTAGGTGAATTCAGAATTGCTGAATTCCTCATATGTCCATAGTTTGTTTGGTAGCTGGACATTTTTGTTTGCTTCAGTAATACATAGGAAACTTATAACAATTGAACTCAAAATCAGGGGCTTTCCCCATGTTTTATTATTTTTGTGAAAAACTGATTTTCATTCCACGTAGACTCATTTTTAAACTGTTATATGTTCATTTGAAAGGCCAGTATCCTAGTGCTTTGCATAACCACATAAGGAGAGTCACACAAATAATTCTGCCAGTTTTTCAGACTGCCTTGTTCCCCTTATTAACCCAATTGTTCTGTTACCACTGCAGGTCCAACATTTAGGTCAATATGTTTATTTTTTTATGAAAGTTAGATTTTAAATTGGATTATATTTTAAACTGTGTTTAGGGTGTCATTGAACTCTTTTAAAAAGTACATTACCTAGGAAGTTGATGTATAATCATTAATGCTTTATTGCTAATTAAATTTATGAAGGAATGTGCATGCATATAACTTTCCAAGCATCTCTGTGTTTCTAAGCAGTTAAAAAAATAGCTTGATGATTTTAAGATAGCTTTTTATGTTGCTTCAGTTTCTTTTTGAACACTAAAATTTCAGATATGACGGCCAACTATGAAAGAGCTGATATGGCCCAAGTGTCTGGATCAAAAGTACTGTTAAATGCTACATTCCTGTTCATGCGCACAGTCATACAAACCAAGAAGTCAGGTTTCTTTTTACATTCTAAATTTGCATTTTCTCCATTTTTAAAATTACACCAAAGCCCTTGCAAGGGCATGTCCACCACACCTCAGCATACAGGGGAAACAGGGTACGTAGTTGACTTGAAAATTTTATTCCTCTGACACTTTTTGTTGAAAATGTGAATTTTTGTGCATGCCAAAGTTATTCTTGTAGGTTTACACTCTTATGGACCCAAGAAGCTAGGAGGCTTCTTGGCAGTGGAATGCCTGAGGTTTTTAATGAGTTTAGGCATGCTGACACATCTTTCAGTTTCTTCTGCAATCACCAGCCATTGCATATAAAAAAAGAAAAGAACTGAAGTATGTGTACAGTTCACTGAACATTAATTGTGGGTTATTTATTTTGGTAAATTTGTTTTAATAAGGAAAGTGGGATCAGTCATAATTTTTTTTCCAAAAATTGCTGTGAAGATCTCCTCCATGCACTATTTTGTAAGGACATTTCTTAGAAATAACATCTTGATTTGTATTTGTAGCCAAACATGCCAATATGAGGTCTGTGTGTAAACTAGATATTTCACCCACATGTTTTGTGGGTGTAGACTGTAAAAGCTCCACCCGTCCTTCAGCCCTTGTCTTTTATTATTTTAATCCTTTGTTTTTCCTACCTGTTGGAATTCTGACTATAAGTACAAAGAACTGTGGGTCTGGTAGTTACTGAGGTATAGCTATTAAGAGAACTAACACTTGCACGCCTCTCTTCACTTTCTCTTTTCCTCCCAGTTTTAAAGTCTTAGTACAACTGAACACACCTACTCTTTTCTAGATAAGAATTTGGACCAGAAACTCAATATTAAGAACTTTGCCTGTTTTGCTTGGCTGGCCATAGCCAGTTACACAAAATCTGGGGAACAAGAATACAAGGATACATGAAAATATATTTCAATAAATATTCTTACATCCTGTACGGTTTTGTCTCAGTTTCC